GTTTTATTTCCAGTTATCAAATAGCAAACAGGCAACAGTTGCTCCGGAGGAAAGTGTATTATGTCGTGAACGTTGATGGCGAGCAATGAAGTACGAACAATTTCATTTTTACCGCCATTCGGAATAGACACGATGATTCTGTGCTCGCCTCTCTGAAACGTAGTTTAACTCTAGGGGTCTTGAATGGAGAATAATTTACTCTTTTATTGCTTCTGCACAAGAGAAACATAAATTTCAAACGCCTATTGTAAATGAGCAAATATCCGAATTGAGTTCTAAAAAAAAAAAAAGAAAAAAACAGAAGCTAGAAAAATTTCTGTTGATTCTGTTTTCGAAAAGAGTCTGTGTCACTATACTGTGTGGTATGGTAGTTGTCGATCCTACTAGTTTACGTTGCGATATCAGTGTTCGGAATTTTATTGGTGAATTTGATCAGTGCAACGTTAAAATGGTTATCTGGAATCATATTTTCTTCGAGACGGCATAACAATTGAGAAATTGGAAGGGTTTTCATAACACTAGTCGCTTTCACGACAAAGCACTTGTATGGTTGTAATAATAACGACTATATCGCGGTCGGTTAGGGACGTTGTACAAGCCTCTGGAAACAGGTGCCTGGTTAATGGCGCATAAATTTCATTCGATCGTATAAACCATTGGCGAATGACCAAGATCGGTAGAAAGTCTGAAGCTATTGTTCGAATATTGATATTGGAAGTCACGTGGAACTTGAACCGTAGCTGTACAAGCTTCTGGAACTTAGGAGAGAAACTTGAGAGTTACGGTATGTAATTCTCTCCTGTTTAGGTGTATACGAAGCAATTAATGTATATAATTAGGCGATAGACATTTCGTTTAATTATCATCGAAATGTTAAGATACGTGAACGTACACGTATGCTGCGTTACATTTCGATTTATGAAATTTTGTCTATTTTCTGCCCTTTCGTTCGTTCCGTTTGTCCATTTTTCGAGATACGTTGAGATATTGGAAAATTGTAAAATTTTAATCAATCAGGAAAAACGTGTTTTCAAGCTTGCAAGCAAAATTATATCGTGCAGTATATTGTATCGTGATGATGACTAATTATTTTTAATTAAACGAGGAAAAAATTGAGCCAAGCAAAAATGATAAAACTTTAGTCTTTTTGATTTCAAAATGGCAAATAGAAATTAGTTTTAACGAAGCAAAGCGGTGTTAGTTTCTATATTAGATCATATATATTTTGCTACTAAAAAAAGAAAAGAAAAAGAGCGGTGAGCAAAATCGATAGAAAGGTTTACGTTCTTGCGACTTAATTCTATTTAAACCTTCGTTAAAAGGAATGAAATTTGTGGAAAGTGAAGAGAAGGGGAAAAAAGATAAAAGGAAGCGAACGGGTCTGTCCATTGTCACGAAAAACGAGCCTCCTCGCCATTTCCCCTCGATGGAGCGTGCTTTCAAACCGGAAGAGATATCGGAGAGTTTAATTTATCGATCGTAGGGAATCGGCTCGTGATGCTGGGGGAATAAAACGACAGGAGCACGTACGTTCGAAGAAAGAGAGAGGAACTCTTTCTATAGCTTCGTTTCGTTAATTTGAATAAAGATCAGTTCTCGTGTAACAACTATAAGTAAACGTAACACCTGATTACACATCAGCCACGTGTTGCTGACTTTAATGACTGCCGTGTTATACTACCACGCGCTGTATACTGCACCAGCAGAGTTGAAAGTATCACTGCTAAAGCTGATTTGAAATTGTTAATTAACTCGTTACCCTCTTTATAATCTTGAAAGTAAAAGTTGACAAAGTCGAAGCGAATTTCGGATTGGCCCGTCTTCGTCCTTTCAAAATGTAAATAAGATGCAATTAATTTTTGGTAGAAACGAGATTACGCTTTTTAAAGAAAAAAAGTTGACAAAGTCGAAGCGAACTTCGGATTGGCCCGTCTTCGTACTTTCAAAATGTAAATAAGATGCAATTAATTTTTGGTAGAAACGAAATTACGCTTTTTAAAGAAGATCCAAAAGATTATTACGTTCACGTTACAGTAGAACTGTTGTTTTCCTCGTGTCTATATGACCCGGAATGACCGTTGTATCTTAATAGAGATAAAACGTTGATAATGTTTCCAACTATTTGGTTTTCCAACATAATGTACCTTTGCCTGTTATATTACTATTTATATGTTACATCATATTAGTTTATTCCAAAGGTTCCTTTCGTTTTACAAGAAAATAATGGATGCACGACATTTCTTCTTTTATGTTATTTTATTGAATCATGTATGGTCCATTCTGTTCTATTAACACGAAGACTACGACATTTGACAGATTAGATCTCATGTTTGTATAAAGATGCGTTGTTGTAAAAGACGTTTGTTGTTTGTAAAAGAAAGACACTTTTGGAACAGCCTGATATTATATATATGTCGAGTTATCATTGGGGTTACCATAGTGTTTAACGAATCTATATTTGGATTAGCCATCGTTATTATACAATAGATGATTGTTAATGGTACAAATATGACTATTACAGAATTTGACGATTAACCGTAGCGATTAGATACTCGAGGTATCTGCCAATGACAATAATCTTAGGTTCAACGGGATAACAAATGCGCTTTCTTCCAAAGTCTAAGTCGAACTGAGCTTGTCCAAAGTCTAAGTCGGACTGAGCTTGTCCAAAGTCTAAGTCGGACTGAACTTGTCCAAAGTCTAAGTCAAACTGAACTTGTCCACAGTCCAAGTAGAACTCCCACATGTACTTTTCTCTGTACTCCTCAGGTCAACCCTATTTTGAAGGGGAGCTTCAAGAATACTCCATATTTGCTACAATTACAAGCTACAACTACTCCATACCTCTGTTAGGTAAAAACGTCCATCCCGTGACCGTGGCTACCTTTTGCGACTAGATATCACTTCGAGCCCAAGCCTACTGTCATAAATGTCGGGCAAACATACTCGGATTAAACATAAACATCATAAACAGTTACTTCTAAGTTTTATTTTTTAAGAACAGCTATAATAAAAAGTCTAGACTAAAGTATTGGGGATATTCCCAAAATTCCAAAGGCCCCAATGTTTTTTCATCTCCGACACATATATATATATAATTTTTGTTTATGAGGGACCTGTTTCAAAAAAAGAGACGCGACCAAGAAGGAAGAGAGAAACATAGTGAAAGGAAGCAGATAGCAATGGCAGACGCAAAAAGATGTGGCGGAAGACCAACTAGTTTTTTTATTTGCTACAACCTGTCTAAGCGAATTAATCAGAGTATGAGTACTATACGAAGCGTGAAATCAATTACACTCGCACAATCGATACTCTCTTTCCGCTCTTTCATAGAATGCAGCCCACCTTGTTGGGCTGTTACGACCAGCGGCTTCAGTGATTAATCAAACAAGGCTATCCAGGCCTCTGGTTCACACTGCACACACAAGCTTATCGTTTCAACGTTGCATAAACCATAGTTGACAACAAAGGATCGAGTCGGATGAGTAACGATCGCGATGGTTCTCGCGCGTCTTTCGCGAACCAGGTTGATTTTAACATTTTCTTGCGCGGGAATTAAATAGAAAATCATCAAATTACGACTTGAATTTTGAAACAGTGTCTAAATGATTAAATTATATCCTTCAAGTTCCTTTTCGTAAGCGAAGCGTGAACTCGGTAGAATTTAGTAATCGATGTCGGATTGTAACTTCCACCTGTTCTTACAATTCTCATTAGTCTTTGTTACTACGTTATTATTAGACTGCGGATTTTTATGCAAGTTCGTATTTCCGAGGATATTCTTGGAGAATTAGAACTTCGGTAGGAAATTCGGCGTTGTGCAATTCTCCGCACTTTCAAATTGCGCGCTCTGGATAAATGATATCTATGGTATTAGTTTTAATTAATTGAAAACGTTCGAGTAAAATTGCAAAATAAAACAGTCATTTCAGTACAACTCAATTTTATATCATAACAGATACGCATACTCTGCGTTCGACGAGTATACTCGTCATATTCATTGCTCTTTGCCACACTTGTCATTTTAGATAAACAGATCGCAACACCTAACTGATGAAATCGTATAATAATCAAAAGCAATCAGATTTCGAAGACAATTCTAAGCCAGAGAAGCTTTCTCTCTCTTCTAGAAAATTTGATATTTGTCGCTGGTACAGTGTCTCATTTCCGAGAAGTTTTCGTGTATGTTACAACCCGATAGATCGTCTAAAACGCGAGTTAGAAATGAGATGCGTCGACGCAACTTTAGTTTGCTCCTTAACTAACCAGTTAGCTGTGGCCATCTCTTAGAAAAGCGTGTACCTAAAATGTGTCGCATTGTTCACACGATATACAGTTTTTTTTATAATAATTACAATCTTTTTATTTGTTCGTTTTATTTCCTCTTGGCCTGCGAATATTGAAAACATCTTGAGATTTACGAATATACCTTAGTTCTTACTACAATCGCAACTTAAACAGCAAATTGTAGCTCCTTTCTACGCACGACGAGTATACTCGTCGTAACAGAAAATATTGCCATTCCTTCGTAACAAGTATACTCGTCATAAGAGAAAATAGTGCTATTCCTTCGTGGCGAGTATACTCGTCGTAACAGAAAATATTGTTATTCCTTCGTGACGAGTATACTCGTCAAAAACAGTTAACTGATTAATGAGTCAAGATACACGGCATCCACTGGCCCTAACATTCGACAAACCTAAATCGATCAAACAAAATTCCACGAACGTTGCACGCGCGCGTCCAGTTTGCATAATCGGATTATGCCACTTGTGTAATAGCGATCAACACGGATATCCGGCTAACGCATGCTCCGAGAGCCGTGAACAACCAAGAAAGTGGGATTTTGAGGAAAACGTCGATGAATTTTAGTCTGCTCCAGTGCTTTCGATGCAATTTTGCACCTGGAAACACGGAAACTCGCTGCGCTTCGGGGCCAATCCGATTTTCGCCTTGTTTATCCGCGTGATAGCGATCTATATGTATAGCGACCCGAGCACGCGACTCAAACCGTACACGCGGCACTTCCTTCATATCGGAATTATGTAACACGTGTCTGCATGGTATTTCATAGGGAATAGAGACATAAATACGACGATGATGACACTTTCCTGAGTGCTTGTTCGTTGCGACTATAATCCTCGTTGGAAAAGACACTTGGATCTCTGAAATTTATTATACCGGGTGTTTCGTTCTAACGTATGAATTCCTCGTCATTCATACGACGAATTAAAATTGAAATATCTGGCAAAGTAATAGTTTCTCGGCGTAAGTAGGTTAATACTTTTTTATAGGAAATATCGAGATGGATCGTTGTATTAAAAAATATGTGAATGCATTTTGAAAGGAATAAAGTTGACCTTGAAATCTTGCCCCGTTACTGCAGAAAAAAATAATTTGCACAATACGATGTCCTGCATGACGTCGAAAGAAACAGCTTTCATTTTCCCTGTTTTTCAACGACAAAACGTTTCTTTTTCTAATTTTGATGCTTAGTAATGATTAATTATACTTTAATTATACTTAATTGTACTGTAATATTACCCGCGAGGTATTGTACCAGTTTCCAGTTAGACGAAATACTCTGTGCATGCTGGAGTGATTAATTGAGAAAAGAAATTAGGAAGATCGGAGAAAATATGTGGCAGTCGGTGAATAGGAAATTCTGGGACTATATCATTGTAAATCGTCGAGGCAGTTAATTATGATTAATTGTGTAAAACGATGAATTATCATCAACTAAGCATTGAATTAATTACGAAAAGAAATTAGAGGATACGACGGACGAAGGAACAATCTCCGGTGTTCTGTTACGATAAACAACGAACGATCTTACGCTTTGCGAATTAACTCCGATTTTGTATATCTCGCAGCTATAAACGTCTGTTAGAGTGCCGTATAAAAGGCACTGCAGCTTGTACGAGTTTTACAAGCTTTACAAGCGTGTGCACACGCCAGCTTCGCACACTGTTGCACGCTTCATGTTTAAGTACACGCTATACATTATATTTGCTCTAAACCGAGTGTCTGGTGAACGTGAAAGAGGAACTGGTAGAGAAAGACCAGTGGCAACGATCAACCTGGTAGACCGCCTCTAAACACTTGCAGAGGGAAATTGTGTCTAATTAGATCCAATTAACATCTATCCTTTCACAATGGACGATTATCTCTCTTATTGTACAAGCTTCGTTCAATCGCTTTATCGGTTATTTGTCTCGATCTTTCGAGCCTGTAAGACTAGTGTAAACATGATTTATCGCGAGCGTAGGAACGCGACAAAGACAGACAATGGGCCGTAAGATCAGTAGAAAATTACCTTTGGAATAATTTGTCGCTAATAGAGGGAAAGAAGCACAATTGTCTGTTTTAACGAGCGTAGAATTCACGCACACGGCCTTGTCCTCATTTTTCCACGATTGACCCATGGATTTTGCAACGCTTTACCGGATAACGTATAAAAAAAGGGCACGCGACTGCATAATTTTGCAGCCTGTGATCGGTGCACACGTATATCCAGCCTGTTCTCGAGGTCGATCTATGCTTTATGATCCGATTTGATCGCCAGTCGTATATCTTTCCTTATCGATACGATGTGGGTCAGAGTTACGTTTGGGGTTACGTCTCATTCGCATTGGTTCCGAGTGACAGGATTTAGCCGATCGACAGCCGCAACTGGACTGCGCCTGTGAATTTCACTTGGCGTTGGATCACATCTGGAAAACGAACCGTTTAACTTCAGCGTTGTTGTAAAATTGCGATTAAAACGAGTGCCGGATCTCGGTTAAACTCCGTATGGAATCTGAATGAAGTTCTGTTATAGGTTTAAATTGACTGATAATTAGGGTTGGGTATAGTCTGAGGGGAACCCCAAATAAAGTCTGGCATGGACTCGGTATTAGTCTATTATCTGAATTAAATCTAATATTTGGTGTAATTTAGGCTTACAGCTATAGAGTCTGTACGTGTGTGAGTAATGTGACTTAGTATCAGGTCTAACGACGAATTGCCTCACTTAGAATTAGGCCATTGGGTCTGACCTAAAGTTGGTACCAGGTCTTAGATGAACTTACAATTAATATTAGGTTTTCACGAATTTCTTTTACGATCGAAATGATAATTTGTCCAATAACCTACAGTTGGAATAATTTTCTATCCGAAGGAAAAGAGGTCTCGTTTCTCTGAATAGTATTCCCTCTTCGTTCTTAAAAGTCAACTTTTCTTCTACTTTTCTAATTAGTAAAAAGCGGATCGATCGATGAAACATTTATTGGCGATTTTTTTGAGGCAAAGTGGAATAACCGTGGTAGTCGTTAGTCGACTAATGTCATTCGCTTGAGAACACCTCGTTTCGCGATCGCAATCGGCTATAGATCGTAGTTCCATGCTGCTTTGACGTCACGGCGAATCGAGCAACGTGACTGTCGTTGATAATCGAGCAGGGAAACGCTTGTCCGCTAACAGTTTCGCCTGATTAATGGCTCTTCTTCCCTGGTCATCCATCAAACGTATGTTCACAGGTGAATTGTTGCCTGTAACTAAAATTTCAAGGCCTGGCGGACTAACTATTATCAGTTTTGTGGACGATTAGACGTTGGCCACGTATTGCAATAATTACACCTTAATCGTCAAATGCTTCCAATTAACAAAGTAGAGTAATAGCAACGACCTGTTTAAACGTTGTAATTAAGAGATATTTCATTTAGGTTCTTTAAACAAAATTGCAAAAATATATTTCCATACCACCATGTTCGATTTTAATTTTATTGACGTTATTATTGAACGTATTATTGATTACGTTCGACGTGTATACTCATCATTGCTGGATTTTAAACTACGTACCCCGCAAGCAATTTTTCAAACTAAATTCCACAAAAATGACATTTTTTTTCACGATTAATTTTACGTACATTTTCCTGAGAAATGTTGAAAAAATGACGGTGTTTCGCGTTCGTGTCTATCGTCACGTTCTACAGATAACGATTGAGTGTGTGAAGAATGTAAATGGCATAATGAACCGTGCGTGTAGCTCTTGATAGTTTGGAATACTTTCCTTGTCTCGTATTACCGTAATAACCGCTATCTTCCTACCAGAAATTTCATTGTACAGGACGATCCATTCGTGTAACTACATAGTTGGTTCTGTGCTCGAGTGTCTCTCTAATTGAAGAAGCACGCGTTTCTTCAATTTCCTGTACACGTTGGATAACGTTTTTACGCTTGTGAATGACTTAGGCTACGCCAAGGTACTCGAAAACTCGTGCACACCTTTTACGAATACATTATGCGATAAGGGAAATGTCTTGAAATTTTATTAACAAGGATCGACAGACTCGATCGTGATATTTATGCAAATTCATGATCTTTGTAAAGGCAACCAGAGGAACGGAAAAACAGAACTCGTATTATGCACATTCTGTTCATTCTTGCACCTTGCAATGTTTCATAAATACATAAACATCTACAGTCATTGTGGTTCCGATTGTAGTTGAAAACCAATCTGAAAATATATATATAGATGACACAATATTTACTATAAGTTTCTATGTTTGTCAATTAGGGAAATAACGAAACACACAGGTATTTAACCCTAAAACTACCGATAGTTAACACGAAGCTATTTCTACCAAAACCAGTGAAAATGACTGGTATTTAAAAAATTCATAATGATAGAATATTTTTATATTTATTGATTTATTACTTTCTTACAGAAGAAATAACACGTTACATACATTTTTATTATTAATCCATCTGGGATCCCTGAACGAGGGTTGACACGTTTATAAAATCGTAGAACCAGTCATTTTTACTACTGTGGTATTTCTAGCGTTAGCATCTAGCGATCCAGCGTTCGATTCGGAATTTTCCTGATAACTTTCCTGATATCGTCGTATCGAATGATGCGCGGTAAAAATTTGAAAAACGCGTGGCAAGTTGTAGAAAACGAGGAAACTGGTTAATTGGGGTTCGATAAACAGATTGCAGGACTCTTTTACACTTTGACAAATACCAGTCATTTCGTCTGCTATCGGTATAAGCAGCTTGAATACAAAATTATTTTCAGTTTGAATACATAAAAAACAAAATAGAAGTCGTTATATTATTCTTTTAGTTATCGTTTCGAAGGTCATTACATCATTGCGGAAAAAATATAACACGTAGTAGGAATTTTAAAATAAAATTAAATTGTGAAACCAGCCAATTTGACTGGTGTGGTAGTTCTAGTATTAAATAGTCAAATTACACATTCAAGTATACATTGTATGTTAAATAAGCTTCGGTATTCGGTGGAAGCGTATTTGATACTATAATAATATAATAATGAAGAAGGTTGTGTCAAAATTGTTCTATAAGAAATGACTACAAGACAGCTAGCTACTCATGCTCCGTATTAATTTTTTTTTATTAATAATATGCTCGCAGCAGATACCTTGCGACATCCATATACATTTTCAGATTAGTTTCAAATTCTATCGACATAATCATGTCACTCGTGTTGTCTCCTCGCAATACTAATGAAATTTCAAAATGTTTTACATAATACACGATATATAAATATGAAAGTTTTTCTTTGGGAAGTTTGAAATACTTTGCTGAGCGCTGTAGATGAATACAGGAAACCGTTTTATCAGACAAAGTGCGCGATAATAATCGCTGGCTGTGAAGTAGGTAAGTTGGATCAAGCGGTTTCTCATGTTTAATTAAAACGAAAGCCATAATCTCAGCCACTTCTCTGCACTTTGGCTGATCTGTATGCGTCTACAATTGTAATATCGTTCTCGGAGCAACATCTCTGGAAAACTGTAATTGTTTCACTCGATCGAGATAGTTTGGTGTACGTTTTCGATCATCGATGGAGCGTTCAGGAACCTGAAAGGAGGGAAGAAACGTTGTTTGTGCTGTTCAGTACAGATGCAGATAGTGTAACAGGATCGTTAGGGGCAATTAAAATTTCCGATTTTCACTTCTAACGAAGAAAGTGCCGAACGAATTACTCGCGTTAGTTTCTAAAATGTGCTATGATCGAAGTTATATCGTATTATTAGCTATCGATCTTATTGAGTCGAGAGCGGTGATTTCGAGTAGATTTTGCAGTTTTTGGACTGCCAAAGCTTCCCAGGACTTTTAGAGATTCGTAGAAATGTTTCCAACTCTTTGGTGAAATTTTCTGAATTTGTCGAAGGTCTTGGGAAGTATTCAGAAACTTTCAGACGTTTTCGGAGATTTTCAGAGTCCTCCAGAGATTTCTGGAGGATTCGAAAAGTCTTTGGAGACTTCCAAAAGCCTCTCAAGAGTTTTCAGAAATTCTCGGAGACTCTTAGAATCTTCCAGAAACTTTTAGAATTTTCCTTAAACTTGTATAGAACGTCAAAGACGTTTCAGAAAGTGTCAAAGACTTTCAGAATCTTTCAGAGATCATAGAATTTTTCTGGGGCTCTTAGGATCTTCGAGCAACTCGCAAACACTTTTCCCGACTTTCTGTAATCTTCTAAAACCTTTTGGAACGTATCCCGACGTCTCTTCCCTCTTCCAAAAACTCGCAGAGTCTTGAAGAGGCTGTGAAGTACTTTTAAATTGAATATACGTGGCTTTCAGTTTCACTGATATTCTCATTCATCGGTCGATGAACTTTTAAATTCTTCAGGAATATCTCGTCACTCAGCTGGTTTACATCGAAAACAAAAATGAAATTCGTAACGGATGCAACATCGTTTCCCGATACTTGCTCCACAAGAACTTTCCATCCTTTTCAGACCGGTCTCTCCCCCCTACACTGAGCATCAGTTGCAACATCGCGAGAAATCGATGTCTTTGAATCATTTTCGTTTCTAGGAAAGAGGAAAGATGGAAATAGGCTGAAATAGGATTTCTCTTTCGGCACGTGATGTATGTTATCGAGACCTATGGTAAGATGGTTCTCGTGAAAACGTGGTCTGAAATCAGGTAGATCTTCTTTTTCGATCGCGTGAAATATTTCAGGGCTCTGGAAGCATCGTTTGAGACTTTCAACACGTTCGCTGCGCATCCAACTTGTTTATTTTCTACTTGTGCTGTGCGTTAACAAAACATTTTTATACAGTATCTTCGTTTGTATTGCGAAATATCAATTATTATGAAATACTTTCTCATAATCTCGGGATTTTTAACTTACGTATCACATTGAAGACGTTAGCACGCATAATCTCGAGCGTACGTGAACGTGTCAATTGGTATGATTGTGCCATTATAACTGGTATCATCGAGACCATAACAATCTGCAGTTGGATTACTTAATTCTCGAATTTTGAACGTAATTTAATTTTATAGCCAATCTTCATCACGGAGAATATATTTATTTTCTTTTATTTTATTAATTTCATTTATTTATTTTATTTAATTCTTGTCTCTCGGCTTTGAATTTCGTCCGTCAACTGTATCAACGTTACAACAGTACATAATTTCTACTTAATACAACAACACTATTTACCACGGAGAATATAAAATACAAAGTGAAATGAAATACCCTAAATTTTAATAATCAAACATAAATTATTACAGCCATCTGTAAACCAATAATACTGTTTCATGGCTAATCTCTACTTTTATTTACAAAATACGTTACAACGAATTTCTCTTCTCGTTACTTGAAAAGTAGAAATATAAAAGCAGGGTACGTAGCGGAGAGATATTGAAAAAGAAAAACAGCGTTGTTAAGCCTCAAAGCAATTGTTTCGTTTAACAGTTGCAGTTGAGCCTCCTGCGAATAGGACACAGTTTTTTGCACAGTTTCGTTTCAAGCGACCAAAGCAACGACGATAATTATTCCGTTACGCAAAGCTGGTGCCCCGTGAAACTGCGATCTGTCGTTTCCTTATCGGTTTCTTGCAGGATTCATACAAACGAACTTTCTCCGGTCACGAAGCAACGCAGTAACGAAATTCTGATTCGATAAGCCAATCAATGACGCTGATGGTCGTACATCTTCTACCTAATCATCTTTTTATTGTGTTATTGTTGGAATAATAGAGAAAAAGAGAGAAAGAGAGAGAGAAAGGAGCAACAAGTGCGAAAGCCAAGCTTCTTCTCGCAGTAATTAGTTGGAAACCAGCGCGGAGCGTCCGTGAAGCGTTACTTTGCATTCCTGGCTTGCGATGAGCACGGGATTACGCGTGTGGCAGATTTCCAAACGATCCGCGCGTGCACATGCTGTCCGAAAGCCGCCGAAGGTCTTTGAAAGCTGCCTACATATCTGTGAAGGCCTTTGAACGTTTCCAAGAGCATGTGAAATTTGTTCAAAAGCTTTTTCTGAATTCCCTCTGAATTCCCTCTGAGGGAATTCCCTCTGAAGGTACCTACGAAGATACCTAGAAAATCACCAAGGAAGATCCCTAGGTTTCTGAAAGTCACTAGAAGATTAATTAATTACTGGATGTCATTGGAAGTCTGTAGAAAAATATTCGATATCATTTTTGGAAACTCACCGAGACTCAGAAAAGATAGTACAAGTTTCTGCGAAGGTTTCGGAAGGATCGTCAAATTTTCGAAGGCCTCTGATAGCCTGTGAAGGATCCTGAAAGCTACCGAGGCATCTGGAAATCGTTGGAAAAATTCTGAAAATTTCTGAAGGAGTTTGGAAGCTCCCGAGGACTCTGAAAATTTTTGAAGAAGTTCTGGAAACCTCTGAAGGACTGTGAAAGCATCCAACAGTTTTTAAAAGCTTATAATGGCCTTTGAAAGCTCCTTTGAAAAATTTCTACTGGCCTTCGAATGTCTCTAAAACATTCTGAACGCATCCAAAATATTCTGAAGGCTTCCAAAAATTTCTGAAAGCTCCTAAAAAATTCTGAAAGCTTCCTAAAAATTCTGAAGGCCTCGAAAAAATTCTGAAGGCCTCAAAAAAATTCTGAAGGATTCCGAAAGACACCGAAGCTTGCGAACACTTGTTAGGAGTGTCAAACAACTTTCAAATAACGTGCAAGGCGAATGAACGACATTAACATCTAGCTAGAATGAAAACTTGACCACTTAAGGCCTAAGGTCAGCGATCGAGTTGACAATATTGCTCGTAGTCGTTTTGAAAGAGCCGGGCTACGCGACACGCGTATGCGCTCTTTCGTCATTGGTCGATCGACGAAATCGCGACTACGGACGATTGGGTAATGCTCATCGCACTTACTTTCGTTTCACGTAACGTTCGTCCGTGCGTATACAGTATACGCGCACGAAATTGACCTGAAATCACGTTTTAATGCTTTCGCGGTCAATTAACAAGCGAGTTTACGTCCATCTTCGTAGAAGGATCGGTATAGCGTGACGTAAACGTCAGCTTGTGAAACTTGTCCTTATGAGGCTCTTGTTCTCCGCTCTCGCCATTACTTGTCGATAATCCTACAATCGATGGAAAATTTACGTCAATGCGCTACTAATATATGAAATATAACTCGCTTTTACTTGTATGTATTTATGATGGCGGAAAGCACGGCATACATTATTCTCAGAACTCCATTCTCCATTATCCACTTGAAAGTTAATACTGTACTTACACGATTAATTGACAAGTTATTCATAGCGGTGCTGGTGGCTGCTCGTGAAACTCCAGGAGCCTAATTGCACTTGTCATCCAAGTTACTCGTTGCAGTAACTGAGGATAAATGCTTCGTCAGATATTGAGAATCAGCCTCTGTTATCATGTACGGACCAATCGGTTGTACATACATCGAGAATCATTGAAAGGTAGCTGCATTCTTAATCAAACGGTTAAGTAATTGCAACTTTTACTTACGTTAGTCCGCCAACGTTGGACTGCGAATAATTTCTGAAATCTATGGAAACTGGCTTCATAGGTGCTGAAACTTGCAACAGGCGCCTAGGAAATTACGCACGTAGCACCCAATATGGATACGAATATGGATAGTTGAGACTTAAGAAACAACGAGGGAATGCGGACGACGAATGGATGGAAGATGGTTTATGGCAGGTCAAGGGACAGGGTACGAACGATAACGACGACGTTGAGACATGGATTTCGCAAGGGAACGCGGCAAAAATCCTGCTTTCCACCGGTTGTTTTTTCGCAATGCTCGTCGACATTCGAGTACTCCTACTACTTTTCTCTCTTGTGGTTTTTCTCTTGTTTTCCTCCAGTCTACACTACCGCTCATAAGTATCTTTATCGAATTGTAACAACAGTTTGTGAATTTGACTAGACTGTACAAATGAACGACGAACTGATAAAGGCAACGCTTCCCACGCTTTTATCGTATCATCAGGATGTATACTAATCGTGCATAAATATTTATATTTACTTAGTGCACTCTAATCGAAACACTGATATTTTTATCACATACCCGATATTATATTGTAGAAGAATCTTTCTTTGTCGTTTAATTCTTTATTTCTTTCTGTACTTTATTTCTTGTTACTTTCTTATGGATTCGACAGGATCGCACCAAGTATTCAGATACTTAAGCGCGATATACCAAGATGTATTCTACACGATGCACACAAGATACAAGATACACACTACCATTCATAAGTATCTGGATACTTGCTTCAATCCAATCGAAGCATTCATATTTTTGTTGTATATCCAACTTTACATTATAGAAAAATTTGTCTCATCGCCATTCCTATCAGGATATGCAGTGCCGTGCATAAGTATTCGTACACTCAATGTACTCCAATCGGAACCATTACGATAGAAGAATGTTTCTCTACAATTACTTCTTCACTTCTTGCAACAGAAGCAACGCTCATTACCTTTTTATGGATTCTTCTGGTTGTACGATACCGTGCATGAATGTTTGTACACTTGGCGCAATTCAATCGAGACATTTGCATTTTCCATCGTTTTCAACATTACGATAGAAGAATATTTCTCTATCGTTCGTTCTTTTCTTCTTGCCATAGAAACGATGTTTATTGCCTTTTTGTGTGTTCACTATTGTGTAGGTATTGTATTGTGTATTGTTGTATAGTGCACACGATAGTGTGTAAGTATTTGCAATTCAATGAAAGCATTGATATTTTGTACTGTATTTTCAACGTTATTATAGAAGGCTGTTCATTATCAATTCCTTAAATTCTTATCATAGCCGGGCTCAAATGTTTTACCGAAATATGGAATATATTTGCATCGCTTAAGTTACATATGTATTTTCAATAAATAGCTAACACTTGATCAAATCTATAGAAAGTTCTAGAATGTGACTCGTGTCACATATTCCAATCGTTTTAAGATCTGAACACTGACAGATACACTTACAGTCACTTAACTTGGTAGTGTCCGTAGAAACAATATTCGTTCATTTTTGGTATTATTGCTTTTTATTTATACTAATCGATATCGACTATTGTTTTCAACAATATATACAACTGTTTATGGTTCGCTGAGATAAGATCAGAGGCGAAACTTAGATCGAAGATCTTTAGTTAATGTGTATTTTATATATCTGCAATAATTTGGAAGCGTGATACATACGTTTGCTAATTAATATTTCTGGTTGTAGTAACACGAAGAGTTTGTCTGTCTGTTTAGAATACTCGTCTTAATCTGTCTTATAATTGAAAAATTAAAGAATCTGGAGAGAAACAGGTAGTCAAGTAACAAAATAGTTCTATACGGTATGACAATTACGAACGCCAATTTTATTATTACATATTGACTTTTGCAAATTGATTTAACCGGGTTATAGTATACTGTTATACGTAATTATGATAATTAGGAAGGACCAAATCGTTCTCGATAATTAAAGTCTTGGGGAAAAATAAGCGAATTGTTCGAATGCTTTTGAACGATAGTGTACATCGTCCACGCGTCGTTTACTCATTTTTCCATCATTTTTCCATCATTTTTTGCTCCCCTCGCGTGAAAATGGAGCCGCGTACTCGTCGAATCCAGCCATGAAAACCGAGAGGCATCGTGCTAAGCGGCTCTTCTAGCGGGCAACCACCGTGTCGACGTGAAAGCATACCATGGCCTACCATTTTCCATTTTATTATTTATAAGCGTTACTTTCGTTCTCGGCCACGTGCAACTTTGATTCTATCTCGTCATCTTTAGACTGATAACGCGTAGTACGTTTTTCCTAGATTTTTGTTAACACGGCTAATAAATACAAATGAAGATTGGTCGCTGAAAATTGGTCAATGAAAATTGAAGTGATCGCTGAAATGTCTCAGTTTCGATACACTTTCGTTTCATTAGATCGTGAATTTTTATGCAAGCGGGTATTTTTATAAAGCTAATTAAACAAATCGAATCCAAGTAGAAAATTTCATTCGTTGAATATTATAATAGGTACTATACTTCCCATATTTTGCATAGGTGCCATACTTTGGATATTGTTCATAGGTACCATAATTTGAATATTTTTCATAGGTAGTATATTTTCGATATTTTACATAGGACTATAGTTTGGATATTTAGCATAGGTACTATACTTTGGATATTTAGCATAGGTACTATAGTTTGCATATTTTACACAGGTACTATACTTTGCATATTTTGCGTAGGACTATACTTTGGGTATTTTATATAGGTACAATATTTTGGATATGTTGTACAGTTACTATACTTTGGATATTTAGCATATGTACTATACTTTGGATATTTTGTACTGCTACTATAATTTTGATATTTTGTACTGGTACTATAGTTTGGATATTTTGCATAGGACTATAGTTTGGATATTTTGCATAGTTTGGATATTTTCTATATTTTTGCATATTATGTACATTCCGTGCATTCTTGCACTCTTCATAAATCGGTATGTAAAAATCTGTTGTACAATTATGTTACATATTTTCCGTCTTGAAGTTTTTGTACTTTCGCCTATTGCATAATTACACCAATATTACTAATGAAAGTTTACGAGCCCCAAGTCAGATGCTACTACAGTATTAATAAATACGCTTATACAATGGTAATAATTTTTGTAAAACGCGAGGCGAATTCCCCAAATAGATTAACAAATTAACAAGTTACTTAACTATTATCTCTGAGAAGAAATTATAAAATTATGAAAGAGAAGTTATGTAACTTACGACTTGCAATTTATCAGTCTAGGAATATTATTTTTTGGTCACTTATTACACAAGAAGTCTTGGTAACAAATTCAGAATTATAGTTAATGGACATTACATTTTTATTTCTTCTCTTTTATTTTCACAATAGAATATTCAAGCCGCTTGTTAATCGATTGAATTGGCTAAACTAAGAGCTCTGAGATCATCCAGTCTGTAGAAAATGTGGAGAAAAAATATACCAACTTCGAACATAATATCATTTTGCAATCTTTTGATGACGACTTCTTTTCTAACTTGGAATTGCTACTCTACTATTGGAATAAATCCAGCGAATCGAGAGTTTTTAATTTTGGAAAGAGAAATTGGCACAGATCGCTTGGCCATGTCGCAGTGACACGATTCCATCGTAATTTTCTTATTCCGCCTCTTGCGGTTGACGCGATGATGAGACATTGATCCTCGAACAAGCTAATCGTTGTTCCAGGCAATTCTCGTGTCCTTTTACAATTTAACAAACCACGGATAAAGCCAACTCCCTGTCGATTCACGTGTTGGTTCACCGTTACACAATCTGTTCGCACAGGTCATGTTTCGAAGTTGCGCGGTTCAAAATTTAATCTGATTCACTTTAGAAGCATCCAAGTAGTTGGTTTAATAAATTAAGTTAGGATTGTACGTAATTCGGTTAGATTGTGCATAGGACTCTGCATAGTTAGCAAGTTCAAACAGAATCATAATTAGATGCGCTTAGATCGGTGTAGGTCAGAAATAAAATCACGCGGTAGTGGTATCTGTGTTATTCTCTGAATTTTAATGCTATTAAATCTTCGTCTGTGTATATTAGGCAAGTTGAGGGATGGTGCAGAGTTTATTTCTCGAATTTTAGCAAGATTAAACGCTTGGAGCATACGTACAAATTTATTTAATAAGTTTTAAATGCACCTCCCCTGGCGAGCGGCGAAATAACGTTTCACGCAACATTATTTTGAAAAAATCATAGCTAAAGTAAGTTGTTGTTTTATCGACGTCCCTCGATTGTTTAATGTATGAAATCTGTTCCCAATTATGTTTGTCTCGTCAGACTTTAAATATTCGTCGAGATACTTCTAAGCTCTGGATTCAAATACGTCGCGCATATTTCAGTATAAAATTTCACTAAAGGGCAACGATGGTTACATAGGGACGCGGCACGCTGTAAATTTCGAGCACAAGGCCTGTGAAGCGAAACCGACTTGACATTCCCATCACAACCTGGCGTGACTAGCGTCTCAGATGAAATAGCGTTACGAGGGATCATTGTCATTATCCTAGTCATTCTCCAAGCGACCATTCATTACCACGAAATTCCACTGACTCGCTTAGACTCGATAATGTCGGTCGCTTAGTCCTGGAAAAACCACGTTATTATCCTCATACTTCTTCATGCAACTTAAGATTATATAAATGCATATAGACCGTAATTACTTCGACCGGAAGCTAACGAGTGTTTCACCGAAAGTGCCAAAAAAATTGGTGAAAGTATGCAGGACAATCGCATTTAAACACCGTCATGCGATTTAACTCTTTCGAGATGCTTTTTCCCGGCAATGACCGGCAGTAATGCAATAATTTGTGCTTTGGTATATCGAAAGATCAAAAAGAAATTTGGTATATATTTTTTGGTATATATTTTAAGCATATATACGTGGTTCCATCTTTTACAGTGCGATCATTTATCGTTTCTTATCGTTTTCAGTTGCTGAATCCGGCCCTTCAGTATTGGCCTATTTATTATGAAACATCTTTGTACGTACAAGGTTAAGTTGATAAAAGTTAGGTTATGACACTGTCAGTTCTTAAGTATTGCCTACTTACGCGACATCTTGTACATAGAAGGTTAAGTTGATAAAAGTAAGGTTATGACACTATCGACCCTTATGTATTGTCTACTTCTTATGAAACATCTTGTACATACAAGTTTAAGTTGAGAAAAGTTAGGTTATGATACTATCGACGCGAAGTACGGTCTGAATGGCAGCAATAAAGGTTATTAATTTAATTAATTTAATTTCGGAAGGGTCATGACACACAGTTTCTTGCTTCCCCGTTGTAAAAAATCATCTCTCTTGGAGGTTATCTACTTCAATTGCGTTACAGGTCACAGACCGCTTTGGCCAATTTGTCGCGTTGAAAGTTTGAGAATCCTTTGATACGCTCAACTATTTTATCGCTGTCGACATTGTGACTTAAACCAACGATTATTATTCAATATATTACCACACTGGTTGGTCAATCCACATTCTGGTCAATTGGGCAATCCCGTGCAAGTTTATCGGACTGTTTCACACGTGGGGAAAAGGCCAGAATGGAAAACATGTTATTAAACCTGTTAAAAACGTGGGATTTTTAATAGCGTGCACGTATGGAGGAGAAGGGATAGTTAAGAACCAAGGTTAATTGATTAAGGTTCTATGATTAAGTCTAGATCAGGTCAGTCCTACGAATTCCCTACGAAATTTACATTAGAATGACTTTCTAATATTACCTAAGAATCTACAGAGGAGAATTTTATCATG